ATATCCCCCACAATAGAAATAATAAGAAAAAGGAAATAGAAAAGCTAATAAGCAAAGAAAAGATCATCTGCCAAAGCTAAGTGTAAGGCCCGCCAAATTGCCAGCAACTGGTTTTGCACCCAAATATATTTCATTCTTAGCTGGTATTAAACAGTGGGCCATGCATGCAAGTGTCTCTAGCGTCTCTCTCTCTCTCTCTCTCTCTCTCTCTCTCTCTCTCCTCCACAATTTTATATAAGAACCTTCCCTCACACTTTCCTCACACTTTTCTCTCAGACCCTCATCAAACACTTTGGTATCAAAAACCCAGCAAACCCCTTGAGCTTGAGAGAGATGGCAAAAGTGGGGAAGCTAACAAAGCTCAAGTCAGTCATAAAGAGATGGCCTTCATTCACCAAGCTCACCCGCACCACAAGCTCCATAGCTGCCGCAACAAGCGAATCAGATCATGACAGCAAGGTCTCCAAGGAGCTTCATGCTGTGTACGTGGGCAAGTCCAGGAGGAGATACTTGATCAACTCAGACATCGTTGATCACCCCATCATCCAAGAGCTGGTGGACACGTCATCAGGTGAGGTGGTGGTGGCCTGTGAGGTGGTGCTGTTTGAGCACTTGCTGTGGATGCTGGAAAACTCCGAGACTCAGTTGGGCTCCATGGACGAGCTTGTTGAGTTCTACACTTGCTGAGTTCTGTGTGTTTTGACAAGAAATGAATTGAGTTAATTAGTTAATTTGTAAATTAAGACTATAATTAGGGAATTAATATTTAGTTTTAGTTTTTTTGTGTGTGTGTCTGTGTGTGTGGGCTGCTATTTGTGAATGTATGTGTCCATTTGGACGGTGAGGTTTAATTTAATTAACCCATGTTAAAGAACTTGGTTAATTATGTTATGAATTGTCATTTTATATACCAATTGTTTATCATTAATCAAATTGGTTGGGACTACAATTTTATTCTGTTTTATTATTTATTTTAATTTTAGTCTTTGATTATTTTCCACCTTTCACATATTTTTTTTATCTGTTATGTGCCCCAATGCATCAACTTTGATTTGAGGGATTGAAAAAAACTAATGATAATGTTAGGGTCTTTAGGATTTTGAGGGATTTGACTACAAGCTGGAAACAAGCATGAATGTATGCTCAATTCTTGCCCCAAAAAGGAAAAAAAAAAATCTATGTTAGCTGTCTGCAGACATCAAGTTCTTGTCAAATAAGAGAAAAAAAGCATGGTAATTGGGTATTATTGCTGATGTGAAAGTAGCTAGGAAAAATCCAGCCCACAGTACAAGGACGTCTTGCATTGGTCCCCTCTAATTTTGGTCCTACTACTACAATCTGAATCTCCCCTAGATTTTGCCTTTGCTATGTCTTGACTATGCCATAAAAAATAAAAAATTAAAGGCACACCGTTTTCTTCTTTTTGTAGTCTTTATTTACTTTTATACTAAAATTTTACTAAGGTATTATTGCTGATGTGAAAGTAGCTAGGAAAAATCCAGCCCACAGTACAAGGACGTCTTGCATTGGTCCCCTCTAATTTTGGTCCTACTACTACAATCTGAATCTCCCCTAGATTTTGCCTTTGCTATGTCTTGACTATGCCATAAAAAATAAAAAAATTAAAGGCACACCGTTTTCTTCTTTTTGTAGTCTTTATTTACTTTTATACTAAAACTTTACTGGCAAAGGACCCACCAGTGCAGTTGTTTGGAGCAATTGCCAAGCAATTGCACTCGGGAAAGGTTTTGAGTTCGAGTCATAATATCTGTATATTGTGTGTGAATTTAGTATGATATTGCCCCTCTTAATAGGAAAAATCCCCTCTCAACCAAAAAGTTTTACCGAAGTTTATGGACATTAAAAAGTGAGAATTAACTGTATAAGGTGGGGCAAATTTAAAGTACAATTGGCCATTAAATTTAATAGTTCACTTAGAGCAGAAGAAATACATTGTTTATGTGCTGCAAATGATTAGGAATTATATAATATAAGTTAGAGATGCTTCTGTAACATACGCGCATGAGTCCATTTTATTATATTATATTCTTAATCCTGTCTTGTTAATTGCAATTGTGCAATTTGCAATCTTTTAGGAGGCATAGCTTTTCCATCTCTTGCGTGCTGCCAAAGGACCAATCAAATATTCTCAAAAGATAATAAAGAAGAAATAGATTAAGAAAAAACAAACACAGATCATCAGAATGAGTTATGTCGCCACGGGAAATAATAGCTTAAGCCCTCGCGCTAATGGCATCACCAAACATATCTATACCAAAGATACACCAAAAACTCAAAGGGTTCAAACTTTTCACTGTACGTTTTCATCATCTCTATGTTCAGAGTAAGTGTATTGTGAAGAGTATAGTCATCAAATTATAAATCCCCAAAATAGTTTTGCATGTAGTTGTTAACATGCCACCCATATGGATCCGAGATTGGTTGACGTTGTCCATATAGCGACAAATTCTCTAAATTGTCAATTCTTCAATGACTTTTTGAAGAAGAAGAAAGTCTTAGCTACAACAAGAATGTCATTGCGATTGAAGATACCACCACAATTACATTCTCGTCGCATAGCACTCTATATTTAAAGGACTTCTTTGACTTTCCAAATTGTTATATGTGCCGATTCCACAGGTTATAAACCCCTCCAAGTTATAATAGGAAAAGTTACCTTATGCTTCAAGAAACAATAGGAAAACCAAAGTCAACCAAAAAAATGCGGTTTACCAAAACTTTCGTATTTTCCCTCTTTACCCTAATGTCGCATGCCTAAGGATGTACTACGAAGTAAAAATTTTGTTATGTTTTGGCTCACCATAGATGCTGGATGAGGAATAAACAAAGGGCTGCAAAGATGGAACAACAAGGAAGGAGGAGAATTCGCAAAGAATGAGAAGTTGTGTTCAAGCAACCGGTCACTTTGGCCGTTTCTTGGCCGAGAGCTTGGGTGTGTTTCTTGGCAGAGCTTGGGTTCGTGAACAATGCCGCGCATGATTTCGATATTTTGGCGTGTTTGACTTGGTTTTCCTATTATTTTGGAGTTTTTTAGCCTATTTTAACAGGGTTTTAGTTTCATATTCCTAATTAAGTTGTAGCCCAAATCCTATGCATTATAAATAGGACTTTTAGGGCTAGGATAATTTAAAGAGAGGAAAATTCAAGAGTGAATTTTCAAGAGAGCGAGACACGAGAATTTATGGGGGAATTCTAGGGTGTTTTTCAAGGGCATCAAAGGGTTTGAGCAAAAGGTGGGAGAAAAGAGAGCTAGGGATCTTTTGAGAGCTAAGAGGGTTCAAGTTATAATTAAAGTTGTTCTTACGTATTAGTGAATTTCTTGGGTGGATCACGAAGAGGATATAGGCAGGAGGTCGAACCTCTATAAATGTTTGTGTCTTTGTGTATTTGTTTCTCTCTTTGTGATGTGTGTGTTTTATTCTCAAAGAGTTTGTGTATGTGCCATCATATAATCTATCAATGACAAGATCTTGGAGTGTTTCCGCACAACAAATGATTTGACATCACTAGATATATGCACTTAATTGCTAAGATACGGAGAATAATAATCGCATCAATGGCTCAAAGCACAAATGGCCAATGCATGTTGGCGTAGGCCTACAAACTGAACTGTGTGCTTTACCATGGGCCTCGCCCACAGGATACAAAGATTAGGACAAAATTTCTTCAAATCAAGCTATAGACAAGTTATTTAATTTGATTTTTTCAGAAAGAAAAGTAATGGGAATTGAAACTTTCCCATGGGATAATACATGCTTGTGAACATGTCGGAATATAAGAACAAAAGTGAAAGACCAAATTTAGTTAGCCAAAGATATTAATATATAGATAGAAGGCATAATATAGAAGGAAGGACTGTTTTGGCCCACAGCAGAATGGGCAAAAGAGATGCCGGACCCATGACTGGCAACAATCAGGACAAGTTGTGACAAGGTCAGAATGCGACATCAAATTGATGCTTATGTAGAGAACATTGCTCACGTATACATCAACTGTTTTCTTATACGTTTTTGTGCTTCATTTCATGTATTTTGCTTATGTTGTCATAAAATTGTAGTCAACATGAATGATCCAATTCACACCCCAACTTCAGTTTTATACAGTTCTAGAGTGACACTCGGGTTCTCCCTTATCCTCACCATCCACCACTTGCTTGTATTGTATGAAGATTTAGTTAGAGCTAATCCATAATCAAATCCCGAAATCAAATCAAATCAAATCAAATTGTCAAAATGTGATGATATTGGGAGAATTTGTGTGTGTATGCAACACGTTTCTTCTAATTATATATCTTTCTTAGCTTATATACTAATCACGTGACCAGTTATTAGTTCACTTGTGAATTGCATGATTAATTATTGTGAGAGAAATGTTGTATACACCGATGATATGTAAAAGTTTCTCCGAGATGCTGAGAGATAACCAGATGGAGCACAACTAGATCCTACTGTACCAAAATCCAACTATGATGAACAGCATAAGCAGAAAGTTGGAAGGAGGTGAAGGGGGCCTATGAAGTGTTTTTCTTTTGCTGCTGATGATATCCCGTTGGCTGTCACTCACTAAACCATTGGCTCAAAGAACAAGCACCATTAAATTTCTTTCTACTCCTTTTACGCTGAAGATTATTCGACAGAGTCTGCAAGATTATATATCGTGCAGAGCCTGCAGATTATTGGGCAGAGTCTGCAGACCATCTAGATACAGAACACTCCAGCTCATTCAGAAATATTCTGACTATAAAGAACAGGCCTCCAACCTTACAGCTATAATTACTTTCTAAAAATTAGGCAAAAAGAAATGCAGCCAATTAATAATTTTCATTTCACAAGCCAGAAGAACAGTGCAAATTGACACCAACAAATTGATCCCCAAGCTAAGATTGGCAAATGAACATAAAAAACTAATCTATTAAAACTTTTTTTTTTCCTAGATAATTACATCTAACCATGAAATGAACTGAAAAAACCCATGACTAATTAAACTGGCTCAACCTTGTAGATCTTGGGTTTGGACCTCTTGATCATCCAATACTCCTCAAAATCCTTGGCCTCATATGGGATCCTCAAAACCCCATCATTGCAAAAACCATATTCCTCAGCTGATCTGTAAAGCAGCTCCAAAAACTCTGCATGGCCAAGCAACTTGGTATGCACCATGAAACGCCTAGTATCACCATCCACACCGACACAAACAGGCACATAACCTCTTGGTGCCACCGGAGGAGGGAATTTCAGTCTTTTAGCTCCTCGAGCGCCGATGAACTGGCTCAGCTTGCTGCTTCTCACCCCCATTAGCAAATAAGAAAGTAGTCTCTTTATCTAGTTGTGGATTAGTGATTCAATTAATTCCAAATATATAACGGAACTCCCTAGCGGTACAAATTTAAGGCTGCCATGCGTACTCTCCGTCCTTGCTATGCTACCCTAGTACTATTTATGTCCCCGTTAGACGTTGATTAATGATATTTTTTCGCGGTCCTAAATTAACTTGATGATTGTGACATTAACATCTTAATTAAATTGCAAATGTTGAAATGTACGTTCTTGTTACTATTGAGGTGCATTGTCTTATGAGGAGGCAAGCAACATGCCGTGGCTACAAAGTTGAAAATAGCTTTAATAATTTCTTTTTCCAGCTAACTATTATTTTAGTCTGTAATTGTCATGTAAATTCACCTTGAATCTGCCGGATTAGCATATTTTATGTCTTTGCCATCTCGGATTTATGTGCAACCCGTGAATGCGTAAATGAGATATCACTAAATTAATTCAACCTTGCCGACCCTCAATCTAGAAATTTGGAAAGCTGACTATTATAATCTTCCAAGGTTAATGAATATAAAATGATTCAGTCTGTTTCCTTTAATTTGTTGGCATTCATTATGTACAAGAAGGAAGCTTATTTGTACTGAAGGAAAGATTGCTTTGGGACAAATCGTAAGTTGACGAGTATTGGAGCCAGCCACTCACATGAGACAATTTGAAGGCTTTGCAGATGAATTTTTCTGGAGTGACGATGTGTGCAACTAATAATAACGTACCGTACTTACCAAAAGAATCTGGAACACCAGACACAGAAGAGAGTTTGAAATGAAGGAAAATTGAAAGCATTTCTAATTTATAATTCAGATTGGCTAGACTACTCTTATTCAATATATTTTAGTTAAGTATATACCGTATCCAAAAAAAAAAAATATTAAAATTAAAAAATTAAAAAAAGCAAGGTACCCACTAGTGTATGGTTTGGAGCAATTGCTTCTCCAAGCAAGATGCTGAGTTCGAGTCCTAGCATCCGTGTAATGTGTGTGAGTTTGGTAAATTATCACCCCTCTATAAAAACAAAGGTCCTAAAATAAATATATAAAAAATAAAGCATTGGAAAGAAACAAATTAAAGCTAATTAATGCAAACTACTACAAAACTTACATCACGAAAATCAATTATGATCTCATGACAAGCTAAAAAAAAAATCCAAAACAACCAAAATTTTAAAAAAAACTCATATTTTTAAATGAAAACTACCACCACCACTTGAAATATTACCGTCGTAAAGTGAAAAAATAAAACTTGGTGTCCAAAGAGAAATATTTTTAATTGGTAATAAAAGGATGCATTCTTGAAAGATTAGTAATTATTTTTTAGTGTCCAAATAAATAAAGGTAATCGGAAACAAAAATTGAGTGCAAACAAATTTCCTCCGCCCATTTAAATTGGGATACTTGGGTGTAACAGGCTTCCCCTTCTATAGAGGATTATTGTGCAAAGGATTTGGGCTTAACGGGCTAGAAACTTGAATCGACAAATCATAAACCCACAATTGCTTAATTAATTTTGTGGAAAAGGATTTAATCAACATGAAAAAGGTAAGTACGTAATTTTTGGGTGAGATTAAGTACTTTGCTTAAATTGAAGACAGGATAGTACATATATTTATGATAAAAGATTGTACAATCTCCATATCCATATTTTTAGCCTAAGCTTTAGAAATTAACTACCCAAAATCACACCTTAATCATATCCTTCACAACCAAGTCACTGGTTCTTGCCGTTGTATAAACCACTTACCTTCTTCATAAGCCAAAACTTAGAGCTTTACCTATATTGGTTGACAATATTTTAGGGTTTTCCATACCTTCCTTTTCGATCTCTAGGGTTTTGCATATTTTCCTTCTCGATCTCTAGGGTTTTCCTTTAATATAACGAGCCTAGCACTGCCATGGCTAAGACTAAGATTCCCAAGAGTGAGATCGCAGACAATAATAATACTAGTGATGGAAAAAAGGGAAGCAAAGGTCGGAGAAGAATTGAAATCAAGAGAATTGAAGAGAAGAACAAGCGTCACGTGACCTTCTCCAAGCGCAAAAAGGGTATCTTCAACAAAGCCGCCGAGCTCAGCGTTTTGAGCGGTGCAGAGATAGCGACGATGGTCGTGTCGAGCAACGGCAAGGTGTTTTGCTTCGGCACACCCAACTATGACACGGTCATCGACCGCTACCTTGGCCACCACACTGCCTCCTTATTGGCTGCAGCAGGTCAACCAGATCATCGTGCTTTGCTGCATGGTAAGACAATGCGAAGTAGTAATAAACAAGTTGAGAACTATGTGGAAGCTACGAGGCACCTCGAGGCAGAGAAGATATCATTCAAGGGTGAGGAGAATAATAATAATATTAATTTTGTTATTAATAATAATTATAATAGTGATTATGAGGGACGAGAAGGAGGTTGTGGTTATGGGTGGTGGGAGAGGCCGATCCCGATTGGGATGATGAGTAGTTTGGAGGAGTTAGAAGAGTACAGGGCAGCCTTGTACAAGTTGAAACACAATGTGGAGGTTCGAACCAATCAGATGATTAGGGGAAGTGCTCCTTCTAATTACTATTCATCGCTTTTGGTTATGGGTGATTAATTAGGAGAGTCGTTTTGGATTAAGCAAGGGTTATTGGTGATGTATAATAAACTAGTACTACTATATATGTCATTTTATCTACCTTGATTATCTATGATATATGTCATTTTATCTACCTTGATTATCTACCTATATATATATATATATATATATATGCATAAAGAGAGCCGGCACTTCAAAATAGTCCCATTGCGCTCTTCATTGGTGAACGAAGATAAAGAAAAGAGATAAGTGTAAGATGACTATTTTGAAGTGCTAATAACAATTCCATAAATAAATGTATAATGTTCTATGACCTCGTTATATATGCATGATAACAATTCCATAAATAAATGTATAATGTTCTATGACCTTGTTATATATGCATGTTAAACTCAATATGAGGAGAAATTATTGAAGGGTTGGGATGCTTAGTTGTTGTTTGTTTTTCTTAAATCCTTACTTTTCTGATTAAAAAAATGGATATGTATAATTTCTCTATCTTTTCATTTTGTCCGGCCAATATATGTGATTGTTGATTGTTATGAACGAGTATATATTTCATTGATCTCATAGTCATCTCTAATGTGTTGGTTATGCGAATAGTTATTGCAAGAGGTACTGAATATGTACTCGTATGTATTTTAGAATTTTTGGTCATTAATTCTTACATAAAATGAAAATATATTGCCAAAGAGAGACATCGAATATACTCACCGTAATTTGTATGTTAGAATTTTGTTTATGGTTAAAGCTATAATAATTGAAAGAAAATTCTATTTCTCAATTTCTCTCCGTTGGCAAACTACCACCTCTAGCTGGTGAGCTACCTAGTGCCTCAATGGAAGGGGTTCGAAACCCGTTGGAAATACTTTGTGGCCAGGGGCAAGTCGAACCCTGAGCAGGGATTAATACCACCCATCGGGTGTGGGGACACCTCGTGGTATTTACCAACACAAAAAATATTATCATCATATGTAATCATTAATCCTCTTATTAGGTCTGTTAAGTACGCAATTAATTTAAGCTGTCATAAAACTTCAATATATTTGTTCCATATGCAAAAGAAAAATATACATACATAAATCATGAAATTTCACTTAGAACCCCTGAAGTTTAGCATAATTACAGCCAGAGCCAAATGTTTCATTTATTACAATCGCACGCCCTAAATCTAACAAAAGGGCAGTGGCTGTTGTGGTAGTGGTGGTGGTGGAGGTAGGGGTAAGGGTAGTGGCAGTGATGGTGGAGGTGGTGGCAGTGGTGATGGTAGTGATGATGGGGCTAGTAGTGGGGGCAGCGGAGGGTGGTGATGGTGTTGGGGGGGCGACAATGATTGTGGTGGTGGTGGTGGTGACGATGATGACTGTGGTGGTGGTGGCGGCGACGATGATGACTGTGGCGGTGGTGGTCACAGCGGGGCAGCTATGGTGATAGTCATGATAAGATGGTGGTAGTAGAAGTGGTGAAATCATATCTTGAGAATAAAAATAATATATCTATCAAAATCTTTGGGGAGAAACAAAGATTTGTTATGGCCTAAAATTAGTCTAATATCAAACGAAATCCACCACTTTTTGTATTCCTTTAAAATCAATAAGTTTTTTAATACACCCAAACTTTAATGAAGTCTTTTAAAATCGTGATTGAATACATCTAAATTTGAATGGAATTTAAAAAGTCTAAATTGAATAGACTTCTATAAAATCGTGATTGAATACACCTAAACTTATAAACTTCTTTAAAATCTAAATTGAATACACCCCTATTAAATTCCCGACTTTTAGCTAAATTCCGAGTTATTTTTCCTCATCCAAACGGAGGGTAAGTGTCCTCAAAATTGGTGTGCCCTCTTTTTTCTCGACTCTTCTTCTCTTTCCTTCTAAAACACACAGTAGCTCTGCAACTCTCTTTGGTTCCAGGGGTTTTCCCCTAGAATTGCCCACTCATTTGGCTAATAAATCAGGCCTCTATTTCCCCCTCATTATGTGGTGGAGAGCTTTCCCTCCCAATTTTGTGTTGGGTCTGTTTTTTTTTTTTTTTTTTTGGGACAAAGTGTTAGGTATGTCTCTTCCTTGCTTTTGCAAGGGTTTTGTCTCACCCTTAGTTTTGAAGGGGATGATTACCAGTCCTTCAGCATGGCTTTGAGTAAATCTGTCGACTTAAGCCTCTGGTGCATGTGGCCTCACAATTTCGATTTCAACCCAATTTTTCCTAGTTTGTTAATTCCTAATAGCACAATATACCCTAACTCATTGAGTTAGAGGAAGAAGACAGAAGGCACTTCCTTAAAAATGAAATAAAAAATGTACTTAACGAAATATAACAGAATGTCTATAAATTGTAAACTTTGTGAAACACATTGACCAATTTGGCTAAATATTTTTCTCAGTGACAAAATTAA